AATTCAACATATATATAAAGAAAATTTAATAAAACAAGGCTTCAAATAGTTAAATATATCACTTTTAATATAAAAAAAAAAAAGAGAAACAGATGCACAACAATGAAATCACAGAAGAAAAATATCGCATATACACTCTATACTTAGAAGACAAAACTACCAGAACTCAAGAAAATGATGGGAGAGAATAACAAACTAATAGAGAAAAACTTGAAAAACACGAAAGAAGAAAGCCAACGAGTTCCCAAACACCAAAATTCAAAAAAATGAGACAAACCATGGCAAAGCATGGTGATGGCAATGGCGAAAAACGATTGGGTTATGCCAGAAATTTGGTTTTTGATCACAATGGGAGAGTTTCATAGTGAATGAAAAATATTATGGGAGAAGGAGAGTCTTTGAATTTTTCCAAATCGCAACATTCTAATGGCAAAATGAAATCAAAAAGTTTTTTAAATGACACTCTTTAGCAGTTATTTTAATAATTATTTTAAAATAACCACTAAATATTTAGTTGTTATTTGCAAATAACCGCTAAATATATCTTAAGTTTTAAAAATTTGTAAAATATTATTTACTTCCTCTGGTTCAAAATATAATAAGCTTTTAGGAAAGATTCGCATACTAATAAAGTCTCTATTCCCATAAAATATATTATTGTTTTTTTATCCCTAGTTCAAATTATTAATGCACTTCATGATGAGTGAGAGATACACTTACACAAATATCTAGGTTAATAAATATAAGGAATAATGGTAAAATTTTGTTTCACACATACTAAAATTATTTATATTTTAAATCAAAGTTAGCTAAAGAAAAATGTTTATATTTTAAACCATAGGAAACATATAACATTTACTAAAACTAATTGCTATATAGTGGTTGTTTTAAAACAATCATTATATAGACTTTAGGAGAAAAGTTTTAAAAAGAGAAAAACAGTCTATTTAACAGTTTTTTTATAATTATTATATAATTCCATAGACTATTTAACATTAATCTAGTTAATCGTTATATATTTAGATGCATCCAATTTCGCCTCTTCTATATAACGGATTTTTATAACCATTATATAAAGGATGCTATATATTGCATATTTTTTTAGTAGTATCACTATCAGTAAATGATTAATGTAGTTTAGGCATTTGTAATTTTCTTTCATCATTTTTTCTTCACATTTGTAAATTAAGGGGTATTTTTGTCATTTTATAAAAATTAAAGTAGTCATCTTAGTTAACCGTTATATATTCAAATGTGCCCCAATTTTGCCTCTTCTATATAACATTTTTTTAATAACCATTATATAGAAGTTGTTATATATTACCTATTTTTTAGCAGTGTCAGTAAATGATTAAAATAGTTTAGGCACTTATAATTTTTCTTTCACCATTTTTCTTTAACGACAATTAAATTCTTTGAGACTTATAAGGTATTATTATATTTTGTAAGACTAAATTATTATTATTTTATTATGGAGGGATTTATTTGTGATTTTCCTAATAGAAGAAGCTAACCAAAACGTGAGTTAAAAAAAAATGCAATCAACCATTTTTCTCTTGGGACCATGACTTATAACGGGTGTGTGAGTGTATAAAAAAAGAAAAAGAAAAGAAACATTTTTTCTAAAAAAATTATATATAATACAACATATGATCCATTTTTACATCACACCTAAACATCTGCACAAGTTAAAATTTGTACAATATAATCTTTATAAATAACAACATAAACTTTGTAAATAACATTTGTACGAGAACATGTATATCTGTTGGAGCAAAATTTGCTGGAGCGAAATCTGTATCAGATTTACAATAACCTCAAACGATCATAGAGGAAGAATTTTACAATCTATTCTAGAAGTGAGTTTTTATCTAAAGAATATGTTAGAATTTTGTCTTGAGATGCAAATCGCATGTCTAGGAAATGAAAATTCAAAGATCTGGGTGGGAGAGCTGCGATTTGAGCATGGTGTGATTCAAGGGGAACTTGATGAGGATGATCTGGATCCAAAAATTATAAACAAGGCATAGGAAGAGAAGCAAGTCCCCAATTATAACGATGGTGTTTGCAAAACGCACGATCGTTTTCTTCTAGTCCTCTTCTTCTTTTGCCTTCCTGTCGCTCCGTAATCAGAAGCTCTCCTTCTCGCTGTGGGGCACCGAACATAATCTCCTACTTGATTATAAAATTAAAAAAGTTAATCATTTAATCCTTATCATTTTTAACTCAATTATAATTTAGTCTCTAATATTTAACTGTTTTTAATTCAGTCTCTGAAATTTTAACTCAATTATAAATCAGTTCTTAAACTTTATCTCTTACAATTTAGTTTTTGAAGTTTCAACCTCTTAAATATTAGTTTTTAATATTTTCAAAAATAAATTATAAAGATTAAAAATATTTTAAAATTTTAAATATTTATAGTATTTATAAATATTAAAAGGGTTAGTAATTTACGATATTAGTAATAAAATTTTAAAATATTTTTAATTTTTATTATAATTTTATTTTTTAAAATATAGAGATCAATATTTAAGAGGTCAAAACTTCAGGGATTAAATTACAAGAGATAAAGTTTATAGACTGATTTACAATCCAATTAAAATTTTAAGGACTGAGTTATAATGAGTCAAATATAGAGATTGAATTATAATTGAATCAAAATTATAAAATTAAATGATTAATTTTTTCTTATAATTTTGATGCAAGGAAGAAGAGGAGGAGATAAAAGCGTAGTGTGAGCAGAGTGAATTATGAAAGAGATAACTTGTCATTTCTGAGAGACAAATAATTACAAATAAGGTCCTTTAGACCTGCAGAAAAATTTCAAAATTTATTGAGCTTTATCTGCAAATATTTTCATTTTGAGGGCCCAACATTTGATTAGCCCTATAATTTAGGGGGTGGTGGGGTGGGGGGAGTGGGGGCCATGGATCATTAAGGACGCTCAAACAAATCCACTGCCCCTGATCCGACTACCCGTCACGCGGGTTGCCCTCGGGGATCAAGTCAGTTGGACGACAGGTTGAAGTCTCTCTCGCACGCGCGGCCGCGCGCACTCCTCCGTTCAAACACCTCTCTGAAAAATATAAAAGATTTTTTTTAAAATCAAAATATTTATAAATATAAAATATTTTTAATTTTTTAACATATAATCATTATTTTTTTTTAATATCTCTATTGATAGCAACTTTATATTTATTATAAGGTATTTAATAAGGGTAATATAAAAAGATAAGTTTAGTTTAAAAGTTGATAACTACTTAATTGGAAGACAAGATTTAATTAAAAATGTCTTATTTTTAAACGGAGGGAGTACACTCATGTTATTTTTTATATATTTTTTTAATGTTCTTAATTAAGTGAATGTGATTTTTCTTTTTTATATCCATTACACTACGTAATACCGATTGATTTTTTATTATCATGAAATTTTTAAGAGAACTTATATTTTGCTTTTATGTATGATTTTAAATTGATTTCTAAACTTGATATATTATGTAAAAATAGTGCATAATTATTGAATTAGTTTGAAATTTGGAAAAAATTACTTTTTATTGTCAGCTTATTTTTTAAGGGAATATTTGTAGATGGCGATAAATCACATTTTTTTAATAAAATTGATTTAATATTTTTTTCTTAATTTTTAAAATAATTTTCTCCACCCCCCTTGATTTTGTCTACCGAGTTGCTTGGTCGCCCTTGATGTACGAGGACAGAACAACCGGGTTTGATATAGTGCCCATTTAATTTTTATTTCTATTTAATAAAAATATATTTAAAGAATTTAACCTATTTGTTGGATTTAATAAAAATATACCTCAGATGTATTTGCATTTAACTTTTGAGAGTTACTCAAACAAGTATATAGTCAATCCAGTCTCATCCGGCTTTTGTGCCTCCAACTAATAATTAAGAAAATCCTACTATGCCCATACTGTTTCTCCTACTTTAATTTAATTTATCTAAAAAAAAAAACACTTTGAAGCAAAAGACGTTCCTTCCTCCTCCAAGGTTGGCTTCAGTGCTCATAAATTGTGATGAACATCGAAATCCATCTGGATATTTGGATTATTTTTTCACTTATATATATATATTTTTCAAAAAAATTGTTTTAATGGATATAGAATTTACTAACTATCGTTTTTTTCCCAAAAAAAAAATTTTGAAATTCTGGACTAAAAATTATAAATCTAAAACTCTAAAATCTCACATATTTAAATCAGATTTAGATGGTTTAGAATTTATTGCAGCTATAAACACCGTGATGATCCATTCTCATCAGAGTGACAAGCACCAAGACTAGACAAAACACATCCTCCGTCCGAGCAGTTAAAGTTGACCAACAAAACAGGCAATATATGTGTCCCTTCCTTCTGACTATGTACGTATATATGCTGTTTCAACTTTCAAAGACGCAAGAAGTTACAGCTGCTTACGTAGCTCGAAGCAGCGCGCACATGTAGATATATATAGTTTCATGACCAAAGAAACTATAAACGTCCGTAGCACTGCCCAGTCCCAGCAGTTGAGAAAGATGAAATCATGAACCTCAAAACTTAACACAAGAAACAATCATACACACACAATTGAAATATATATTATGTATGTATGCATATGAGAGGAGGGGGAAAGAGATCAGAAAAGCTACAGCGAAGTGGAAGTGAAGGAACGAAGGTCCATCTCCTGGGTCCATGCACTTCTGTCCTGAACGTGCAATTGCCAATAGGTTTCAGCCACTGCGTCTGGGTCCATTCTCTTTTTTGCAATCCCCACTTGATCCTGAGGTTCTCTCCCACGACGACGTCGTTTCTTCTTCCCTGCATCATAATCACAACCTCTTATCAAATAACGAGACATCGACTATGAGCAAGTGCACCACACGGGAAATTAATTAACCTGGCATGGCCGACCACCCCGTCAATGATAATATGAGCTACGTGCACTCCCTTGGGTTGAAATTCCCTGGCCAAGCACTGCGATAGTCCTCTCAATGCAAATTTCCCACAGCCTGTCCATTCACATCACATCTCACTCTATTTCTCTTAACTGAAGGAAATCAAACAAACACAGATCGATGAAAATGAGTTTACATAGTTCAGAGAAACCAGCAACGCCGTTCACAGAAGCTGAACACCCAGTAAACACAATCGTGCCCCTTCCTCTTTCCACCATGCCCGGCACCACCTTCATCCACACACACACACACACACACATGGTTCAACTGATCTCATTCGATAATACTTGTTTGAAAACGAATGAACAACACGCATGTACATGTATACTTACCTGTTGAGCGCAGAGGAAAGCACCGAGGGATGAAACGGCGAGTGATTTCTGAAAAGAGTCTAGGCGAATATCTTGGAAGCGGGTTGCGTTGAGAGACGACTTTGGAGGCTGGTAAGCATTATAAATCAGAACCTCCACGAATCCCAGAGAGTGGACTCCTTCGAACGCGTCCCTCACACTTTTAGCATCCGAACAGTCTATTCTAATTGCAAATACCTGCTCCGCCTTTTCCTCCCTCGTTATCTCCTCCGCCAATCTTGACAGCCTCCCTGTTTACATTCCAGAATCCCCAGTTTTCACATTTTAATTTGTTTTCCCCCGATAAACAAACAGAGAGCGATCGAGAACACTTAACTAGGTCTCGAGCGAGGATGGCGACGGTGTAGCCGTGGCGAGCGAACTTGTGGGCCATGGATCTGCCGAGCCTGGGACCCACTCCTACTATAGCAGCTATGCCCCGAGCTCCCATTGGAGGAAGAGTTTGCCATGCTTCGCAGATACCACAACACCAACGTGACTGACTGTGTATGAGAAAGCAGAAGAAGGAAGAAGAAAGATATATACCGAAGAAGAAGAGAGAATGGAAGGAAGAAAGAGAGGATAAAGAGTAGTGTTGGGGCCGCCGGGGGGGTTGTTTTGCGCGTCTGAATCTTTGCCTCCTTCATAAAAGGCAATCTCTCTGTAACGAGCAGGTGGTCTTATTATTATTACTACGTATCTCACTACTCCCTCTCACACTTAATTATCACCATCCCTATCTTGTCTGCTTTTATATCGCAATTAAAGTCCGTGTGATGGAGACTCGCTAGCTGTGGTCTCGATTGCATCATTGAATTGATTGACGCATTCACTATCATCTACTGTATTGGTGTCTTGAACCCATAAAAAAAGGGGGCAAATTTTTATCAATTTCACTATAGAAACTTGTAGCAGATATTGCAAATAATGCTTTCTCCTTCCTCGACCTGGCATGTGTCTCCAATAGCTTTAACAAGAGATAGGACCAAACCAAGGATCAGAAGGATTGAAGGCAGAGAATAATTAACAATAGCTCAATCATCGCGCACTTAACCACCAAAAACCAGAAAATTACAAGATTTGTTCTTACCACATCACTTGCCTTGAGTTTTATCTCTTGTGTGTGAGTGGATATATTGCAATTGCTTTTCCAAATCTAATGATTTGAGAGCTTGGCAAGAATTGTGGTGTTGAAAGCAAATGTAGATTTTAATGTATGACGAAAGTGATGGTGAACTGATTGGTAGTACTCTTAGCAAGAACCTGTACGAAGAGGATAATTTAGATTTAATTTCTTGAAACCTGTGAGGAAGTCAAGTTAAATCTTTTACTCCCGCTTAAGTTGTTCAGTATATGTGATTTACAATTTGCGGTTACGAATATTCAGAAATAAAAGAGAGCAGGTGCAATTATGCGAGTTAACATAGCATTGTAATTGAAGTAGGCGGAGTCATTCAAAGTCCCACATCGGGAAAGTAACGAAAGTTCCTACGCGAAAGGTACTATAAAATGGGAAGCAAGCGCCCTTTTCCAATTACGCAGCCACGCAGTGAGCACAGAGCGAACTATTCTTTCGCCTTTTACTAAAGAATACCGTGTGCACGCTGCATAAAGTGGCATACGCCAATTTTTGGGAGGGTCCCACCGATGTGGGGTCCTACATGTCAGTCTTAAAGTATTTCTTGTTGCTTACTTAATTTAACTAGTTTAAACTTGAACAATTTTAAGTGACATCCTGCATTTTTCAAGTTCGTTCAGTATTGTGGGCCATCTGTGGCTTCAAGCCTTGTGGTCCATTAGGTTTCTGGACTGATAGCAGGAGGCCCAGAATAGTAGTACGAAGAATTCACATTTGGCTCAGCGCGTCGGGGGTGAAAAAATAGCTGATAGTTAGGATTAATAATTTGGATATTTGGATCAAGTTTAATGAGTTAGTCTAATCTAAATTCATCTTAAAAGAAATTAGAGCTGAATTTGGTTATATAAAATTTTTTAAAAAGGTAGAATACTTTAAACTCAAAATAAGGTTGATCCAAATTGAGCTGGAGCTAAATAAGCCCAATTGTTAGAAATTTGAACTCTATATGTATATAAAGTTAATAATTTTGATCAAGTCTGACGGGCCAGTCCGAATTTGGCCAAAAAAAAGTTAAAGATGAGTTTGGTTGTATGGACTTTTTTAAGAAGATAGAATACTTTAAATCCAATCTAAATAAACCTGACTCGTTCGAATTACTAGCTTTATTGATAGCAATTCTTATCTTTCTTGGGTGGGTTTCTCCCTTTTACTTTTTCTCTCTACTATCTCTTAACTACAAATTTAAACTGTATAAATTAAATTTATATTTTAAAAATTATAAATTTAAATATTTTAAATTAATTTAACGATCAAGATTTGCACTGATTTTTTTCCTTGCTCTCTTTTGCAGAGAAAATTTAACTCCATCTTTCTTCTATAGGACAGAGAGAGGCTTGCCTATCTAAATCCTCATATTATTGACAAGCTACCAAACTCTCCAAAAGATTTTCAAGTTTTCCCCAAACTATATGGATTTAATGCTAATATTAATTTATTGCAAGTCTAGCTTTTAACGTATGTTACCTCAAGAATCTTCATATTTTTCCTTCTGGCAATTGCAAGCTTGTTATATCTTTTCCTCAGTAATAACAAAAGAAAATACATTTATTTTATATATATATATATATATATATAAATAATAATTCTAAGGGAGAATTTCAGTTACATGAGTTGACATATCAATAATTATATAAAATTTGATATCAATCTTTCAATCATAAACAGTAGCAACATCAATTATTAAATTATTAACTTTATTTGTTAATTTATTAACATCAGTTATAAATTACAAGACTTGTCAATAATTTACAACTGATGTTAGTAAATTACAAGTAAAATTAGCAAATTAACAACTAATATTACCGATATCTAACAAACAGATTTAATTTACAAGTAATATTGGCAAGTTAATAAGTGTAGTAAGAAAATTAACAATCAGTGATTCTGCATAACAAGTGAATGATATTTTGATCTTTTTATCATCAAAATTCTTTTGACTTTTCTCCATTAGATTGAATTGAAATTTTTAAAATTTTTTGGACCTACTTGAAATTAATTCTCTATAATGGTCCTTAACTAAAATTTTAGTAAATTACAAGACTTGTCAATAATTTACAACTAAAATTAATTCTCTATAGATTACAAGACCTGTCAATAATTTGCAATTGATGTTACTAAATTACAAGTAAAATTAGCAAATTAACAACTAATATTACCGATTGTCTAACAAACAGATTTAATTTACAAGTAATATTGGTAAGTTAATAAGTGTAGTAAGAAAATTAACAATCAGTGATTCTGCATAACAAGTGAAGGGTATTTTGGTCTTTTCATGGTCAAAATTCTTTTGACTTTTCTCCATTAGATTGAACTGAAATTTTTAAAATTTTTTGGACCTACTTGAAATTAATTCTCTATAATGGTCCTTAACTAAAATTTTTTCTAATTCTAACATTAATATCTTTTTATAAAAAAAGAAAGAATAGGATGTAATTTGAGTAAATAAGTGAGGACATGTAACGACTGTTGATCGTGATGATGAGTATGGGGGAAATTAAGGGTTTAGGGTGGAGAAGTTTTATGATCTTTATCCTTGTGATTTTCTTCTTGTCCCCTTGATTGTAATTTCTTTTCTTCTTTCTGCTACATTTTCTAGTTGTTTTAAGACCATTCAGCTATTTTAATCAAAGATACAAGTCCCCATGACCTAATTTCATATCATTTCTTGAGTTATTGCTATTTGACTTCCTTGAATATTTCATGTGACCATTCCATTAGTGCTTTCATTGGGAGGACCTGTAATTGAAAACACCAGATTGATGGAGATCCAAATAGACCATATGAAGTTGATAGAGCTTGGGGAACAATGCAACTATGTGTATACGGTTCATATGGAAAAGGTACAGAGTTTCATAGAAGCTATATCTCGTACTTTTGGGTGATCTTTCTAGAAATGTGGATTTACTAATGCAGCCTTACGCCAGGTCCTTGACTCAAACACAGGTCACCTAAGAATCACAATCACACCAATAGATTCAATTGGGATAGGTTAAGGTAGACTTTCCATGCTTTGATGAGCCAGGTCTACTTAGCTAGGTATTTTAGGCAAATAAATCTATTACTAATACAAAATGAAGGATACTTAGTGACTCCCCCTAGCTGCGGTTCATTTCGATGGCCTAGCCATTCCATGGTATTAGATCTTGCAAAGAAACACTAATTGAATGCGTGGGCTAAGATCGCAAAGGCAATGATCACTCATTTTAGGCCACCCTAATATGAGTGCCTTCGGGCCCAACTCTTCAAATTCACTCAGGTTGGAATAGTCACGGACTATTACACAAAATTTATACTCCTAGCAAATCATGTTGACAAAGTGATCCAAGATGCCTTACTTGATTATTTTGTCAGTAGACTCGAGGATGACATAAGGCAAGTATCATATCTAAAAAAAAACTGACCCCTAATTAGCTAGGTAAATGAGGTTAATTATGTAAATTAATGTAGTGTGAAGTTACAGAAATCTAACGAGTGTTTTGGGCTGTCGTTTCAACCCTATGATTGAGTTCAGAGTAAGGTCGGGTTACCTGGGTATGAAAAAGTGAGAAAAATAGAGAAAAATGGCTTTATGCCACATGCCACGATATGTGCACAAGATGCTACGGTGCACAGTGCCATCTAAACAAGAAGGCCTTTCTCTATATCACATGCCATGTGCCGTGACGCACAGTGACAAATCTATAAAAATAAGACACAAAAACAAAAAAAAACAAAGGAAAAGCGAAGGGGAGACAAAAGAGCTCTACTAGAGTTTTAAGAATTGAAGCATTAGGAGTGTTTTTAAGGCTTCCAAACACTAGAGGTAAGATCCTTAAGCTTGAATATCTCTTTCTCTTCCATTTTCTTGAATTTGGAAGTTGTGGTTTAGTTGAGAAAGATGATTTTTGATTCATAGAGGCTATGAGTTCGAATCCATTACTTAAATAAAGTTAATAAAAGTTGTTTAAGCTATTTAAGTCTAGAATTTATGGTGTTGAGTTTTGGTGGTCGTGGGATAATAAATATTCAAAATTTCCACTATTAATGAGGTGGTTGGAGCAATGTGACTCTATTAATAGTTATTTAGGAGTTCAGTAAAGTTAATGAGAGTTAAAAGAAGCTAAGAAACCCTATGAATACTCTTGTATGTGAAGGGATTAAATCTTGGGTGAAAAAGTGTTTGATTAGATAGTAAAAATTATCCAAGAAAAGATATTGATGATTTTTATTGTGATCCAATATAAAGTGGTTGCATTTGTCACCATTTAAGCTTTGTAAAAGCTTTGGGATTGTGTGTTTGAGAGGTAAAAGTTTTGATTTTTCAAAGGTTTGAGGTAATTGAGGAAAATCTTCTTGTTCTTCTGTGTATTAATTGATTTATTGATTTTA